ATTTCTGTGATTTAATCGTGATTCACAAAGTTTACATTTAATGATTTACTTTTCAATGCAAAAAAAACCTGATTCTCACACTTTGATTTTAAATGAGCACATAATTCTAAAAATATACTTCAAAATGAGTTTATTTTGTTACGCTTCACAAAGCACAACTTTAAACTCATTTTAAATTTAAAAAAAAAATTGCCCATGAATAATTCATTCTTATTCAAACATGAAATAGTTTCTTCTTCGAAAAGCATCCAAAAGAGAATTTCATTATCAAATAAGTCATTTTCTTTGATGGCTGTTGAAATTTTCTTCAAACATTATTTATATCTATTGACATTCTATTTCTATTTCTTTGAAAAATTAGTATAGTTTTTCTTAAAGGTGACATGGTTGAAATACCATCAAAAATTAAATCGCAATTATTTCTTATATCAAAATAATGAATTCAATTTATTGAAGTGATCAGAAGCTTTAACATCCAAATCAGTATGAAGATTTCACCGAAGTAGCTCGACCAAGAGTTAATTCTGGTATAACTTTACAATATTAATGACAAAGTTTTCTGTCAGTGTCTTGTACTTCAACAGCACAAGATAAAATGTCATAGTTCAGCGTCCTATCCCATGAAATCTTCAATCCTACCTGAAATATCGATATTTTATTACTCATGTTATAGTTAATGTAACCATCAGTTACAATAATTTTCAAATCATACAAATTTTACAAATCGTATAAACTCAAATCTTAACAATCTAGACATCCATTTAAGTTCCATCGCCTAGATGCACATTGAACCAATGCACCCATTTGCCTTTATATAGAACCCTGTACATCGTCTCTTACTAGTTCTTAGAAAAATCTTGAATTTTCATTCTTTTGTAAATTTTATCCAATTAATTTGAGTACAGTGCATCGAGCAAAAAGATATTGTGCACAACAGCTCGCCAGTTAGTCTGTCCTTACAAAAGCCACTTGATGTGAACTTGGGTGGCTTCTACTTACTCATCTTCAGCCGGGTTTTGTTCTTCTTACAACACTCATCGCGAATCTTGGAGTCCGCAGTTTGTTTTTCTAGTTTACTTTACACTATTTTTCTTTTACTTTCTGAGGCGATACAAATATTTTTTTAATTGTGCTATGTCCCTTCCATTTGGCTATCAAGAGTTAAAGGTGTAAGACCTGAATGTAGCCGTAGATATCCATGGATTAAATCCCATTGTTAAAGCTTATCACAGTCTCACTCCAATCCTTCAAAAAATTCTGAAACATCTTTTTAAACAAATTAAGTTATTAAGTCTATGTTATCATCTCTCTTGTTACTTTCATCTTTGGCCAGGGAAATTCTGATGCTAAGCTTTTAACCTACACCACCTTCGGCTACTTCCTACTCGTCAATGGGGAACCCTAAACCCTCAAGTTGAGATTCCTTGGTCAAGGTTTTTGGTTACCCAATACATACATCCTTAGTATCTGAGTCTTTATCTCACAATCCGCACTTAAATAAATCCCTGTTCCTCTTTCTTCTAAGTAAAACAATCCATCCTTGGATACATGTGACTCAAGATCACGGACACATAGATTACTCCCATTTCTTCTCTCTTTCTTTCTGTACATGCACACTTCCAAACAATAATGGCTCTTTGCGGTACTTTGGTTCATATACTCATACACTCATCTACTCTTCATATTCTATGCATTTACTTCGATAAGTGATCCTCTCGGGTGAAGAGACCTAATGCATCGAAAAAGATTGAGTTCGTTCTAGGATTATCATCATTCCAATCAAGCTATTCAGACTTTGCATCAAGTCATTTGATTTATCACAATCAAAATCAGGTCTATCTGACTCACAATCTCGACTTGCATCCCACAATCGAGGTCTCAACCAGTCTCACTGCCTTCCTTTTGTATAGCTTCCAACATAATTATCCCCTGGTCATGAAGCGCACCTCCCAATTCTTCAAGCTCAAAACATCCTCCGGAGTCCACTCCGTTTCAGAAGTTTCCCTGGATCTGTGTCAGTGCTAGTGGTGTGTAATTCTCGTTGCTGTGATAAGGTACGGGCGAGAAAGAGTAAGATCTGAACTACTAGTGAGTGAAGATAGATCTAAGCAGATGGAATGCATGGGTGCACAAGGTTAATTATAAAACTAAACCTAGTTCTCTCTGGGAACAGGCATCAGAAAAGAACTTTATCATGAGAGAACAGATTCGATGTTACTCATGTGATACTCTGATAAATGTGTCTGCGGGTTTAGAGGTGGGATAAACTTGCCAAAGAAAATTTATAAGACAGTCTTGAGAGCATGTAATCGTTACTGTGTGCTCCAAAAGGACAAGGATCAAAGCCGAGCAGATTATGAGCTTAGACACATCAAAAAGGCCTACTAACGATCAGAATGGTTCACGTCCGAAAACCACACAAATATTCAACGTGGAGAAGGATCCCTGCACCCGTTGTGAAAGAAGTAGGCACTGAGTATTGGAGTACTACTTCTAGCAGTCTGAAGCAAATTGAAACGAGTTGAACCAATCAAAGTTAAAACCGCAATAATCACAGCATTAAATGGAAAAGACATTAAACGAAGCTCATGTTGCGGAGAAAACAGATGAGCAATAAGCTGAAAGAATGGCAAATAGCGCATGGCCTGCGTCTCTAGCTGTACTCGAGACCGGGAGACCTAATACAGATATCTGAGACCACAACGTACATAATGAAAATGAGCTGGGACTATGGACGAATAGGGAGCAAAAGTCGAGGCATAATAAACAACCCAGAAGCCTGTAACTGGAAACAAAATCGAGCAAGTAGAACCAGAAAATATGTGCATCCTTAAGGCATGAATCACCCTGGGTTTCCCAATGACGACTAACACAGCACCATAAACATAACAAGGATTATAGAGCAACACAAAGACTTCATTGGCTGATGTCGTGAGATGATAGGACAGTACGCCATGCAGAGAAATAGTCTCAAACAAGAAACCTTTAATCCATCACGGCTGCAGCTGATTTCTCCTCTGTAAGGAAACCCAATGCTAGTCAGAGTAATTACAGCTGTCTATGGTAAAAAAAATCAAAAAAGTGTTCAATTCCAGTATCACATTTTTCAAACCTTCGCTTGTTTTCTGCATCGAGACTATGACCAGGACAATACTTTGTTCACGAGAAAAACCGCGTCATGTCTCTTCCTGTTTATTCGATTGAGCAAGACCAGGGCAACATTGCAAATATATCACAGAGACATCGAAAGAGATGTAGACACCTTATCCTGGCCGAGCCAATTCGTAAATATATACCGACCCTAAAACTAGAACTGCCTGAAGTTTTAGAACACATTACACTCCAGGAGTTCTCCGAGTACTGTAGGTTGTGGCGAATGCCACAAACCCGTGAGCAAGAAAGATAATAGTGTTGAAACCTTCAAAGGCTTCTGCTTAAGCGAAGGCACTTAAAAAAGATGTTTGCAAAAGATAGCTCCAAGCAATATGATTTTGTCGCTCCAATTTACTCGTGCATCATGACAATCACTCTGAAGGGCATCTCTCCCTCTTTCCACCGGCAAGTCTAGTCTTCGCTATTGACAATGGCGTTCTTAGACAATTGTATGACACATTTCGGGCAAGAATACAGTGGAGAGCATGCTAGGCCCGATTAACTTCTGATGTCTCAACATGACGTAACCGCCTCCCAGACGATTCACTCCATTTTATTCAGTTTTTGTACTGTAAAAGAATGGCAAGGTAAAACGTACAGGCGAGCTTGATGACCACAGAACCCAAGGGCATAACATCTATTAACGAGAACTTCACTATTAGTTCGTAACAGTCTCAGCCGAGAGACCCGCAGGCCCGCTCCCGTGCTGAGCGGTCCTAGAAGTAACATACTGGGAGGAGGAAGTAAAAAACACTTGGTCCTCGAGATGCCTCCTCCAGTTGCGGACAAGGGAGAGGACGAATGACTAGTAAGTAGGACGAAACTAGACTTAAGGTTGCGTACTTCCTCAAACAAAAAACTTGTGAAGAATTGAATGGAAGAACTACAATAACCTCCATACTAATGACAGAGTGAACTCTAAAAAGTGCTCAAAAAAATCGTTGCAACTTGAGTTTAGCAACCTCGGCAATTGTTCATTGTTAAAGGGATAGAAGTGCTTTCCAATAGAAACCTGCGTAAGTTCGATCATAATTGATATTCGTGGAGAAATAACAAATACTTTAAAAAACAGTGAACAGAAAGTAACATGATATGACATTCCTGTACTAGAGCAGGTGATAAGAAGTATGAGCATTAGCGAGGAAACGTATCAATAATAAAGAAGGACACGTTGAGATGAGCAGAAAACACACGAGAGAACAAGCGCGATTGCCAACTCTATTTCAAACCTACGAGGAGGATAAATGTTCAACGATTAGAGAAACGATCGTATGCACCAATAGTTCTGGGTGGTAGCCTGCACTTGATCACTGCATGGCTGTTCAGTTATCCTTAAAAGGTACAGTCTCCGCACAAGCATTGCCGTTAGTTATTGTCGGATCATTGTTATTGCAGAAAGACTTATCCAAACCATGACCAAGTAATCGTTTTTCAAGCATTCCGAGCGCCCTACATAATTTATTCCGCGTCTTCTTAAGTACAACGCACATCCTATACCCGTAATATATTTGTTCTTTGTTTCTTTAGTATTACTTGTTCATACTTGTGTCACCTTATATGACATTCCTGTGCAAGAGCAGGTGATAAGAAGTATGAACATAATCGAGGGAACGTTTCAACGAAAAAGAAGCACAAGTTGAGAAAAGCAGACACACGAGAGAACAAGCGAATAAGTTGGGGACAAACTGCGAACAGTACATTGATACAACCAAAGAAGGGAGAAACATTTACTCGTAGGATGGTATATATGCAAGCAGTATATAAAGAGAATGGAGTTATTACCTAAACAAAAGTACGAACCACTATAGTATAACAGACACTGGTAAATTCAATCGTATCTATCCACCATGAAAAAAGTATATGAAACAACATGAACTGAACAAGAGTCTGCCTATGACAATCATAAGAGGCCGCAGCAGCCTCTTCCTACGTCACACTCTAAGGATGGAAAGATAGTTGGAGATAACCGAGAATCAGCAACTAGTCATAATTTTGGAGTGACTTTCAAGTCCAGCGTATTCCTAGAAACAAATATTGAACATTAAGATAATGATAACCGACCAGGAATAATGCATGCTGACACTGCACGCTCCACAGCGTGCACCTCCAACAGAACAGTAACCAAGAAATCAATCTTCGCACCCGATTAAGAAACAAACATATCACAAAGAGAGAATCTGGAAAGTGTGATGAAATTCTGTCAGTTTATATAATTTCCTACCAATGCCACATAAATGCCTGTACCATGTGACAAAGTGGAAATAGGGTGCATCGTTCTCCGCTATATTCAGTTAAACTCGCAGCCAGACGCTTGAGCTTCGAGAAAGTTTCATGGCTACATCGGTGTTGTACGTTTTCCTACAACCAGGACATCGACCATCCTCCGCAGCAATTCTGTGATGACAGAAAAGACACAATCGAAAACCACATGAACAAGGTACAAAAGAAGAGTCCGTGACATCCAATTCCTCCGTACATATAGGACAGTATAGGGGAGCCGGAGGTGGCCCCCACAAATTATTGCCATGCACCCCGCTCCAACTCGGCGCAGAAGATTGAAGTGGAAAACTGTGTTGCTTGGAGAGCCTGGGTAAGGTGGGTGGCCTGGCGGCATCGTCAGGTCTCCAGGCTCTACCCCCCATTCCCCTCATTCTTCCGCCAAGCATCCCGGCCTTATACTTATACTCCGGTTTGAGAGACCCACTCTGCAACTCTGAAGCGGCTACACACTTGCTCTGTTTCTCCGCGGATATATCTTTTTCGATACAAATAGATTTTTGTGAATCTGCGGTTTTGCAAGCAGATCCTTGCATGTAAATTGCATCAGCCACAGCTTCCCAGTCATCTTCAGCGTCATGAGTAAGGGAATTCCCAGTTTCTTCACTTGAGCTTCCAGAGTAGCCACTGCTTGTACAGCTGCTAGTTGACTGTGTGGGACTACAATCGCCTCCATAACAGCCCGCACACGTAGGTCCACGGTCATGCTTCGGGTCAGAGATGACCAGCATCTCCTGTTCAGCTCTAATAAACGAATGCAATCTGCAAGCACGTTCCTCTGGTAGCGTCAATGCCAATTTCTTTCCCAAATTTGTGCCGCCAGAATCCGGTGCCAGGCCGATAGGACTCAGGTGCACACCCATTGAAGACATGATACTCTTGTCTGTAAGACAGCACTTATGCATCAAGCACTTTCCTTGTACCTCCACAAGATCGTTTTCATCATGCGAAGCCACATTTAACCTCATGTCCTTGTCCTTACACTTGCTCTTCGCTCGGCTTAGATCTTGAACCTCTGGACTTTTGCAACCTTCCCATCTAAGCGAAACTGCCTGTTTTACAGCACCTTGACCAATAATCAGTGGCTTTGTTGCAGAAGACTCTGTCCCATTTTTAGCGAGGCCAGTTAGACTCTGTTCCATGTCAAAGCTCTCACTACAACCAGGGCCAGGGCCACTTGACTGTATGCAAAAACCCTGTTCCAAGTATCTACTAGGAGAGCTCTCTTTGTTGCTTTTGAGAGCGATAATCCCATGGCAGTCCTGATCCTCATGCTTTCCACGACTGTGATTGCCTGATTCCAAAGTCCAGAAGAATAATAATTAGCTCGATTGTTATCTATGCACACAAAGAAGTGGAGCAAACAGAAAAAATACTTTGATCTGGAGGTCCATGTGTTTCTAGACTCATGAATTTGAACCCTAGAAAAATGTGAATCTCCCTTGAGTCTCGAATATGAGTCCCGTACTGAACATACATATATACATGAAGTACGAGCCCTGGGCCCTAGCTGCTGTGATTGACATTAGATGGTATTAGGAAGGTCCCACGTTGATTAGAATGCAAACGGAAAGTAAGATATGTGTATGTAACATGCTCGACTACATTTGTACTCAATACAAGATGAATTGAGTGTACTATGCTATGATCGAAATTGAAAGTGTCCCAATGCAGTAAGATTACAGTTGTACGAGCAGGTTAGTAACCAAATATTGCTTCGCAGAGAGAATGGACATGCAACTGACTAGAATGCAGCGTGAAGTAAAATTGGATGCAGATGTCTGTAGTTGAGAACGACCAGAAAACAGGAGCAAATAACAATCGAGGAAAGACGAGATTCAGCACGACAGATTGTGGAAGTTGAAGCCAAGTGTTAGCAGGCACAACAAACGAACCAGGAACTGATAACCAAACTTGAAAGAAAAAAAAATATACAGAGCGAGACCATGTACGAGTACTCGGTTCAGGACATGGGGCTGTGATTGAAATGTTGCAGCACATAAGAAGAGGAATAAAAGTTGCAGGTCTCATAATGATTACAGAGAATGCGACCCTAAAGTCAGAAATGGGAACTCGCGGCAATAAGCTCTAAAAGCATTAAGTCTACAAGAGCAAAAGACAACCTAAGTCATGTGAAAGCAGATCCCGAGTCCATTACAGGCAACATAATTCGAAAGCTTTAACTAAGATGTACCCAGAGGGTATAGAGGGATAAAGTCGCTCCCGCTACTCCCGCTACCCGTATCAAGTCGCTCCCGCTACTCCCGCTACCCGTATCAAGTCGCTCCCGCTACCTCCAACATCTCGTCAGCCCCCACTTGAAGGAGCCATGACACTTCAAGTTTCGATCGGAGGTCATCGCACTGGGGGACCCAGTCTTCACGTCGTAACGCACAGGGGATGAAGGCGGAATGCAAAACAAAGTCATCCAAGTGGGAATAGATACAGCAGGAAACGTCAATAGCATGAGAACGAAAGAAAGCATGAAGTATAGAAGTATCCTTTTGGAAGGATAACCGTGACAAATTGGTGGTGCCATAGAAAGCAAGGGAGAAAGATACGGAGGTCTAACACGTAGCAAGCGGCCGAAAGAACCAGGAACAAGAAAGAAGCTGCCCAAACCATAAAGACAAACAAAGGAGGCGAACAAAATGTAATTAGCACAAAATACTAGAAATCCAAGACGGCAATGATTTAGCTAGCTACTTGACGAAGTGGCTAAAGTACACCTCTGTCTGATGTTGTATATCGTGCGATACGTGTCTGAAGCAGAGGCCAACAAGAAAAGGTTTGCAATGAACAAATCCGTCAAAGAAGCTCTCTCGGTGCATAGTCTCGTCCCCGAGGAGTAAGGAAAAGGCCTTACAATTGGTTTTCTAGAACTGGAAGAGTACAACAAACAAACTAATAGCTTATGCAAACTGCTGGAGATAATGACTTGCTTGGCAGTATCCAATAAATTGGACAAGATGAAGGGCGTCTTGATAATGGACATATGACTACTCTGGCGAGCATAATTTATCAAACATCGTCACTTCAAAACTAGCAGCCGCCAGGCTTATTCCAAAGTCTAGATAAAACAACTGTTGCCAGATCAAGACAGGTTCGACTCACAATTAGGAGGTGGGTGTATCCCTCCACCAAGAGAGCTGTCGGATAAGTGCATACAAGTAGAGAAACCTAGGCAGGAAGTACCCTGCGATCGTCAACAAAACGAACACTAATAGAATACTGGTAGGAAAAACTTGAGAGACTTGCCTTTAGTGTACCTGTATAGGAAGGCGTTGTAGAAACCCCAACACGTAGGTAAACAAGTAATAGTTGGCTAAGAACACTGCACATTTTCTACCCAAAGGTATCCCATTGTCTTGTTTGTAGACTACTTCGGCAAACGTAGTGAGTCTACCAGACAATTCAGAGCACTGCTTATGTCTGTAGCTGTGAAAACGTGATGATGACTAAGCAGATTGTCAGGATTATATGATAGAGACTATGACCAAGTGATATGAATCTTTGAAGTTGAGCACTAAACTAGTAGATATTGCATCAACAAATGTTATTGGGGGAAAATTCCAATGAGATGAGCTACACTAGTGTCGACATCATGGAAGTCATTGTACGGTAGAGAGTTGCATGGTTAAAAGTTTTCTGGGATAGTTAATACGTTTCAGCCTTTCTATAAAGTCAATAACCGCTCATGTAAAATCTCGGATCCTACCTTCTGCAGGCATGGAAAGGAGGTAACGATACTGTGAAGGGTACCCTCAATGACTGGGTTCCACGTATCATGTACATCAGAGAGTAAAGCTTTACGACACCTGCAATTGAGATGCTAAGGAAGTCTCAGCAGATAGAAACCAAAATTTGAGTGGGTGTCTGGACATTGGGTATTTTATTAATTGAGTATAATCTCGAAAATACGAATGTCGGTGTTAGAACACGAAGAAGCATTCGTGAGTTGTTTCCGTAACCGGGGTGTTGGCATGAGAACGTGTCAACGTTATTTTTTCCCAAAGTGTGAGAGGTTGCTCTTTTAAAAGTGGCGCACGACGATATTGTGCAGTTCTCCGTTCCAAAAGTATTGTCCTTGTTTTTCGTAATGGATATACGAAAAACAAGAAAATATTGTTATAGGTTTGTTATTTTTTCATGTAGCAATTTCGAGTGGAACAACTTTATGCAAGCGGCGGGGAAACCAGGAGAGACAACAGTTAGAATGGAAAAACTGTGGAACTGTAAGAGAGGTATTAGCAAATACCACGAAGGTACCCGGATATTATGGACACCAAATAGGTTTCAGACGCTGTAGTTAACAAGAAAAGTGAGCGTGTATCAAGATGCTCCCGCTATCTCCAAGATCTCGTCAGCTCCTTTGAAAAATCCATGACTCTTAAAGTTTCAATTGGAGGTCGTCGCCCTAGGTCGAAACCAAGGTCGATCCAGTTAATGAAGACCCAGTATCAAACGTCGACACTAACAAGAGTGAAAGAAATGAGGGAGTACCGAACTTCCTCTTCGTTTGGAGTTAGTACAGGAAGAACCACTCGGCAAACGGCAGTCTCAAACATTCAGGAAATTAGCCGCAACGGAAAACCTACCGCTTATGCCTCGCGGCGAGCTGACATAACAGATGCGCGAAAGCGGAATGGTTATTAGAAGAACAATCTAGAGAGACCGATAATACACTGAAAAGCAAGAGATGAATACTTATGCATGGAGACGTGGAAAAGGTCAAATCGAGAAGAAGAGGTAAGGGGAGGGTGTAGAAGTGGAGGACTGGCAACTGTAGCCAGAAGAAGGGGAAAGCGAGAATATGCAGAATGGTGGATAAACCTTGCGAAGGTTCACTAGTTTATAATTATCAAAAAGACCCGTGGGCAGTCAACGTAAAGTATATGGGAGGATGCAGAAGTGGGCTTTTTAAAGAACTCCCACCTTGGCAAGAACGAGACCAAAGACAACAATTACCCTGTGCAGATGGAATAAGTGTGCCAGAAGTTGACGAAAAGAGAGCAACAAAACTCATCTTGTTACAGCGACAGATAAGGAGTGGGCAAAGGAAAATGACATCTGAAAAAGGAGGTTTGGGGAAAACTTGGAGAGAAAGCTCTTCCACTGGATGTAAGAAAAGAAGATGATATTCCTCTTCCAATGGAAAGCTTAGACGTACATACTTATGAGAAAATATGCAGCCCTAGATTAAAAGGCGCATCTGATAAAACGACGCTACTATTCCAACCAGATATTAACCAACCAAAAAGTAAAAAAAAGGGCGGTAAGAAGCCCTTGCCGTATATGAAACCGAAACGGCTTAACAGGCAAGCAGACCGAAGATCACAGGCTCTATCTAAGGATTAACACCATACGTTGGGGCAAACAGGAAATGAACAACAGGCCCAAAACACGGCAAAGAAAATATGGGATAGCATTTAATCTGACAAGGTCAACGGCTTTCTAAGGCAAGCATACATAGGAAAGCATACATAGGAGCATCCAAAGGATATAGAACGGATAAAATTAGTCAATTGCAGGAAGGGGGAAGTAGGCAGTAGCAGTCCATAGGATGAAGTCCATGGGACGAATACGACAAAATTTATGTAACATGCTTATAAGAACAACGAGTGCATAAGCACTAGCAGAACACTGGGGGATTGGGCTTTCGCATCCGATGCGAGAAAAGAAACCAGGGAATATCAACAACATCAACCCTACGGGCATCACTCCATAGTCACGACATCCCAGCTGCTTCATCAGTGTACACCGGGGTGAAAAGGCTTTTGCACTCCACCGCGCGGGGGATAAACATAACTTAAACAAAACAGGTAAAAAAAAATAAATGATCAGCCGCAAGGCCTTGGTATGTCAGAGACCGAAGCATCGCAAATCTATTTATTACGTCTCAAAGGTGCCGACGAAATATACTGGATAGCAAGAAACAAAAAGAAAGTGTGACATGTCATCCACGGACCGAACCTGGAAGAAGTAAAGACAAACCGATACGTGAGTACGAAGAGGCGAGACGTAAATCGGTTGAATATACGGAGGAAAGCGACTGTCATGTTTTGTGTCTTTGACTGAGCTCATGAGTCAAACTTTACTCACCTAAGCACCATGGGCCCTCCAATCATGAAACTCGCGCCTGTCTTTTGGCTACTCATTCGAAGCTTACAGCACACCCGCTTACATATAAGCTAGCACGAAACCGAACGAAGCCGAAGCGGGAGAACATGGAAGAGTGCGAAGAGAGAAGGACAATCGACATAATCAAAACGTATGCGTACGAGGTGTGACTACGTTCGTGACCGGAAGGAGAGTGACGGAGGCACACATTCAGAATAAGAAGAAAAAGAAATGGTGAAGCACAGACAACTGCCTAATGAGCTCCTGAACCCTTGATGGAAGATGTACTGAACAAATGTGGAAAATTCCGTCAAAGTATGGTGGAGAGGTGTGCCACGAAGTGGATGCATAGCATCACACTGGTTATCCTAGAAAGTGAGGGTAAGTGGTTAAACTTCGCTGAATAAACGGTATGGATGGAAGTGAGTGGGCTCCAAGCGAATTGGTACGGATGAGTGAATAGTTACTGTTACGTGACTAATTCCACGATCTCCACGAAATCACGAAACAATATCACTCCATAATCTTAAGACCCTACTTCCAGAAGGCATGCTAAACAACTACATGCGACCCACAGACAAATAGCAATTCCACATGCGCGGCACTGGAATTTTACGGACAAGGATCAAGAAATGCGATAAGTGAAAGAAAACTATTCAAGCAGCACTAGCGGAAAGGCCAAATGAGAAGACAGAGAATGTTACAGAGAATACTAAGATGTGCACCGTCACGACCAGCAAGGGTGCCCTGATTCCATCAATGAAAAATACACCTCGCAAGATCTTGAGCCGTGCTTCTTCAAAAGATCACCAGAGGACTATAATTATTAACATCGGTAATGAAATTCTTGAAGAAGGTAAACATCTTGAATCCACAGCCCTAAATGAGCGCATATTCGCAGGCCAGGTCATCATAGACTATGATACGAAATCCCTTTGTGCCCATAATTTCGCTGACATTAACTATACTTATGATGTAAATTGAAATGTCTACGAAACAACGGAAACAATTTGTCATTACGTTCTTGGAAACCAAACAGTTTCGATTTAACCCAACACCAATCTCTCTCTCTCTCTCTCTCTCTCTCTCTCTCTCTCTCTCTCTCTCTCTCTCTCTCTCTCTCTCTCTCTCTCTCTCTCTCTCTCTCTCTCTAACGTACCTTGAGAGAGCCACTGCTCACGTCGAGCGTCAAGCTTACACTGCTTCAACTTTGCTGTTCGGTTTACCTGCACCAAGAATCAAGCCTTTCAGCGGTCTTCTCTTGGCAATCAGCTTGCCTCTCCCGTCAAAACAAACACAAAAGCCCCACCCACTTTCTTTGGATTTAATCAATTAAGCATAATCTTTGAAATCCCATGGCAAGATCATCTAATTCAAAGTTATGGCTAACTGAATCATTGACACAGAAATGTTTCTTAGAGAAAATACCCTTTTCCTTTTGCTGGCATCCTTGGAGTGATAACACTCGGATTTCTGCTCAGACGGAGAAGATTGCGAATGCTTAAGGTCACGGCTGGAAATCGGTCCACACGAAGGATTTCGGTCCAAGTGAGGTGTTGATACATTGCTCTTGGCGCTGTAGTTTCGCTGCATGCAGTGATAATCAACGGTAGAAACTCGCATGTTTGATGTTGCCATATCAACACATCCCACCGACAAATCAGTGCAATGCGCTGCAAACGGCTCGAACAACCACTGGCGGAAATGCCAATGTTGTGCGGTAAACGACTCGTACCAAAGTTTCTTCGACGCACCCGAACTTTGTAACGTCTCAACGAACGCGATTTTCAGATGTAAAACCTTGGTGAGAGGAGGCAGATAATGCTCTTCAGTGAGGAAAGGATGAGTGCAACAGGAGAAAGGCAACACCAAATTCACGGCTGTGCACGACACTAACCCACATCACCTAATTAGACCTCCAGAGTAGCGCAAAACTCATGGATACACTACGTGCAGGGTATGTAGAGGCATTCGTAAGCTGCGGGTGGATGGAATCTCTGTACTACCTACATGTATTTGATCGGAAAGTCTACAGGTTATTGATGAAGGTGGCAAATAGGAACTTTGTCCTATTCAGTATATAAAAAGTACTTTCTCTGTAAATAAAATATTATGTAACAAGATTGAGAATCTCAAGCTTAGAACTCGGTCTAGCCCCTCAAACTTGTATGTACAAACTCTGGATAAGGATAAAATTCATATTTCCTGTGTCTGATTATAGCTTATCAGTCTCTCTCGGCTTGCAATTCGCCAAGTCCAAATCTCTCATTAATCGGCAAAACTTGAACTCTCGATCAAAATTAAAATTGTGACAATGTCTAATTCTCTCTATACCTCTCCTTTCAAAAGCTGTTGATGGTTTTACGCTTGCAAGCCGTTTATGACTTCATATATTCAGGTATCCATATTCTGAACTCCAGTTGCCCTATTTGCTCTCAAAGCATTATTCATGAATTCTTAAAATATGCTCTAGTATTCCTCTAAATTGAAAGAATCCTATTCACATCATAAATTTGTTCATGCATACATGTGTACCTTAATTATAGCAACTACGAGAACATGATAACTGCGGTGAGTTCTTCTTACATCCAAGCCGTTCATTTTGTAACAAAAAAAGTGGTATTCAAATCCAAGAATTCCAAAGAGATACTCTTAAATAATTCATTCACCACATATATATCCATATAACAAAGTTGAAATATACCAATGAACTTTTTACAGCTACAAATCTACGATACAATATTGTGTGACTTGATAAAAAATAAAAAATCACATATCTCGTTCCTTCTAGCTTGAATCCACCCGCTCAACTCCTCTATGTGGCCTCTGGATTCTTCAAACTTAGTCAATTTCAAAAAAGCTGATCAACTTGAAGAAGATGGAAACCAAAGGCCAAAATTCATATACTCAATATCTGTTAGTGAATTAGTTATGTATCTGAGTGACTATGACATTGAGATAGACATAGTGACGAGCTTTCTATCGAAATCAACATTCAAATTACTTGCTTCGTCTCTTCAAGTCTCCATCCACAGATCATACATAACTCTTTCCACACTACTTTGAATTCTATCATAAAATTAATTTGTCACATATAATGCTAATTATTTGTTCTAACTAAGCACAATCAATCTAACTAGGCTAAGCAGTACTCAGGTAACTTGAAACAATCTTTCCCTCAACAAGTGTGATAAGATTTGTAACCTTTATTACCTATATGATAATTATTTTAACAAAATACTGCAAAAATTCAAAATACATCTTTCAACAAACTACTATCGATTAATTTTGTGTCATGACCAACATAATGGAAGTGTAATAATCATTTTAAGTTAACATAGTTGCTAGCCCAATTTATTTGTACACTTGTGAAAAACTTGCAATAATTGAAAATAGACAAAATAGATTTCTTTGAAATCACTTTGAGACATGAAAAAATTAACATTCAATTATGACTATCTCAACCATTTGTTTGAACATGGTATGTTCATACAATTCATACTACTTGTTGAGTGTTATAATTTATTTATTTTCTCAAATCCACAACTAAATAGACAAAATTTGACTATTTTAATGAAAATTGATAACATCTTGCATTAATTAAGTCTTTCAAATTAATCTGTAAAATCAGAAATTATTGTGTTCCTTCTGATGCCAGATCATTATCAACGTTTGTAGTGAATTAAGATATAAATTTAGCAATGTTGATTGTGGGTCTGTTTGGAAGAGAACAATCACTAACTTTCAATCGCAAATACTTTCGTGTAAAACCATGAAAGCCTTCTACACATGAACTAACACAAGGCACTATATAAGAGACCCTATCGAGAGGTGACGGATCCGTACTTGAGAATCATTAAAGAACTAACTATACAGCTTAGGGTCTGAGAAATTTCAGAATAAACCTCCCAAGCTACTAGTTTGCGCACACAACACACAAAAACCTATATATGTTACTAAGATATATAATCTTCCACTATCCAACAAGGTGAAAGTTGCTTTCTGAGAACGTGTACAAGACCAAATATCCACTAAGTTGTAGAAGCTAATTACTTATTCAATTTTAAGTACATAAGTCAACACTTATAGCAAAATCCAACATCAAATTTTAATTAGCTTAACAAGTCTACATAAGTTTTCTTCAACTTATCATATTAAACCCAATCTAGGTAATTTGTTCCATATGAATTGTGTAAAAAGTAACAGTGTTTGTTGCAAAGACTTTTTTAATTTAATAGGATCAAAATTACTTGGATAGTAATCCTTTGTGAGCTCTACAAAAATGCCTTGAATCGTACATCGTCATCCAATTTATAATTTTGAACACCTGTATTAGCAACTTTATATTTCACGTTTTTTTTTCATTTCTGTTTGAGCAATCTCAAATACCTCACTAGCCCACAATAAGATCTGGTCTAATTAGTTAAGTTGCACCAATTGCATTTGTTAAGACTAGTCTAGATCCAAACGTTCTTTAAAAGTTGTGCAAAGGATCATAAGTTTGTATTATGTTGAAGTAAAATTTCAAGTTCACATACTAAACAAATGGAAGAAAATTCGTAGTCATTCTAATTATTGAGTTGTATATCCAGATTGCATGATGGAGTTTGAGATCCAATCATTAGCTTTTGCTCTTGTTTCCATTGATTTTGCAAACATTAAACATAATATTTTTGTTTATTTGTTTGTTTGTACTAGGTTGATACATATTTTTAATCTTATGTTTCATTGCTAATTGTTACATCAAATTTTTCCACATCCCACATGTGAATTGACATCCATATTTTGAGATCATTTCTAACGTAATACCAAACCAAGTAACTATACATTCATACACAAAGCTCAACCTTTTTTTTTACCAATTTTTTTAAAGTCTTAGACTCATAAACTTTTGTAAAACAATCCGTAGCAACAACCATGAAACCTTATATTTTTTTATGACCGTCAACAAATATAGTAAACCAATGCTTCATTTTTTGAATGATTCTAATGGAAACATAATACACAAGTCGTCTCTCAACATATATTTGTTTGCAAATACTTGACATTCATCGTATAATTTGCTCTACTCATAAATATACTTGAACAGATTCGGCCCATAATGTCATGTACCAAATCTTTCCGCAAAATGTTTTTCCCAAAATCTTCATGAAACCTTGTTATAATTTTGAGAACATTGTTTTTTTAACCTCAAAGCAAAAAATATAATTTTTTTTTCCAAAAACACAATAATTAACCTACAAAGTTATAAAAACATTTCTTATTTGTGATTTATGTACTTATTTCTTTTGTTGCATCATCCCAAAAATTCATAGCTTCAAATAATCAAATGACTGACAAATATGAACTTCTCCGGATCATTGTTCATGTTGACAAATATTAACATTGCATTAAAGGTTGTCTTTGAAAACCATGTCTATCCATTTGTGAAAGAAAATCAACTTTTGTTGCTTCGTACCCACGCAATGTAAAGATATAAGAAAAATTCTTGAAGCAAAATTATACATCGTACAATTTTTTTCTTTGCATTCTGTTTGTTGGAAAAAAATCACTGATTCAAAATCGATTATCGATCACTTATTCAAAATCTTAATTACAGTAAGTAATGTTGAATTTTCCTCGACACACAAAAATATAATTGTTTTCATTTTACAATATTGTAATTCAAATTTGCTAACGTGAGTTGTCTACTAACATAGTAGATGGAATCATAATATCCTTGTTAATCTATTAAGTTAACATTTTGCCCAGTAACTTTTTTGATACATTCTTAAAAATTGAAAGCATTTTTTTCAATTCAGAATTCATAAAGTTGATTCCAAAAGCAATACTTACTTAAGCTTCTCAATAGCTTCTCACAATTTTGGGATAGCTTGCAGAGGAGTAGCATTAATTTTCAATTCCTTAGTTAAAGTCTTAGCAATCACATTGTATTGTTCAATAAGTTAGCAGTAATAACCCGTAATTTTAAAAAAATTCTAAGATAACGTTTGGTAGTAAAAAAGTTATTCTTATAATAAAAAATGTTTTATCTTAAAATCTTTATAAATCATCTCCTATAAAACTATGTGATAAACCAATGTCTAGAATAATAATTAATATTTTTTTCATGTTAAGTGTGAATTCTAACTCATCAAAGTGTTCCAAAATCTTGGATAACTTTTTCAAGTGTGAGTCCACATTCCTGAAAATTTCTAAATCATCCATAAATACTTTTACTATATGATATAAGTATAGATCCAAAACTCTAGTACTTAATTTTTTGAGTAAAGGTTAAGCATTGCAAAGATTGAATGCAATAAGGTTAAAACAACAAGAGCCTCATGATGAAGAAAAGTTGATTTACAATCAATTCCTAGGTATTCACCGAAAGCCCTTTTTTGGTTGAACCTTGCCATAAATAAAAGGCTATGCCATTATAAAGAAGATATTTGCTTGATGAAACCTCATTCAGACATAAATTACTTGATGGGACCCATCAAGTTACAATTTATTCGATGGTATTCCACAGACAGTCCACGTCAAACTGTTATAGTATGAACAAAAAACGATGGACTGAATCTTCGTGTTACCTTCGGTAAAGTCTAAACGGTCCACGTCACACTGTTATAGTATGAACAAATCACGGTGCGTTAGTCTTTGTGTTACCTTTGGCAGAGTTAAAACTTGATGTGTCAATGCATAAGGTTCTCGTCAAGCTCATTCATGACATTGAGTTTAGACTTAACAATTTAGAGGATTAGTTGTCACAATCTCATTTGGAAGCAGTGTGTATGGAGATTGTTGAAGGCGTATGAGCAGCTAACTGACTTGCTCATATTTCACAATTTTACAATATCTAACTAACTTTCCGATTTCACAAGGACAATTCATGGAACACGAATTTGGATTCTGCCCATATGTGGAGCCAAACGTTGCAGTATTACTAACACCAAGCGTTATTGGGCAGGTCTATCATGTAGGCC